AGCAGGGCCAGTGTGAGAGCTCCATTGGTTTCTCCTGCATGAGGAGACAGGAAGGGATAAAAGGATAGACTTTTATCAAACCTACAAGATGCTACACAGTATCTCAGTTCATGTGTGTAAAGCATTGAGAGGAATGTCTTGTTTTATAGATGATTCTAGATGAGGATAGAGTCCAGGAACGTTAACAAATAGCCTTGCCCATGGTCTCAGAGCTAATAAATGGTGGAGCCAGATGGAGGGCAGTTGTCTTGCTTCCATGTGGAATTGATAGATGTGTCACTGGAGTCTGAGGGAGGGGAAGTCTAGAACCATCTGGGGTTGTCTTTAGATCAGACACCAGGGTTAAGAGACTCTGTGTACCCTACAGCACTGCAGGTACATGCATCATGGTGTTGGCAGTGGGGAGGTACTAGAGTGGGTAAGCGATTAGTGGCCTGGAACCAGAAGATCTGAGCTTTGATAAAACTATTCCCATCACAAGATGTAGCAGAGACTCTGATGTAGATAAACTAGGCCAGGGAGCTCTGTGAGGAGCTGTTGTTAAAATGAGGGAGGGAGGAGAACCAACTAAGTGGTCACTTCCTATATGTGAAATGTAGAGGAAAACAATATTAACTAGAATCCCATCTGATTTTAGTCAGTTTTGCTTTGTAAGTAGTTAGAAGGTGGGATAATTTATTTTCAAGGTTAAGTAAACATCAGCACATCACCTTTACCTTATGAAGACTGTTGGCGAAACAAAAAATGGCACGGCCAATGGAGTCAGTTTGTTTAATAAATATCTCAGAGTTCAAAGAGAGACTTTTATGGAGCAGAAATTGGTAAATGTTCCTGCATTCTAAAAGTAGGAGGATCTTACTTTCTTTGAATAAGCAGAGAAGGAAGCACAGGCAGTGGGGAGGGTCAGTTGGGAACATGGCAGAGTGGCCGCAGGATGTCCAAGACAAAGGACATGTAATATCAAATTCTAAGCTGTGAAGCTGTGATGCTACTCTCCTTCTCCTAATGGATTTTTTAGGTCTCAGCACAGATGCACACCTGAGGGAGTAATTTCTTTGGAAATTAAGGACAAATTGCTGTGTTAGTAACAAGTTCACCTTACAAAACACACCTGGAAATGGAAATAAGATTATTTCTAAGGCCTTTTCTACTCTAAGAGTCTCTGACTTGGTGGTAAGCTGAGAGGTGAGGATAGGGGGTTGTTGATCCACATGTGATGAGTACCATGAGGTTCTACCATGAAGCATATAGTTCTGAGAGTGAATCAGAGCCCTAGGAAGAATAACGCCCTTGAGGTTGTTTTGCTCTGTGCCATCCCAAACCACCCCACCCATAATTGAGCAACCATGGAAATGAGGGTAGCCAGAAGGAATCAATTCCTGCAGCTTGGTTCAGTAGACAGAGGGACCTGGGGGAAGGGTGTTGGCTGGGTCTAGGAGAAGATGATGAGCTCAGAAAATAGACAAGGAGAACCCCCAGGGAAAACTTGTGAAACCCTGAAGGAATCACAAGATAGGTTATTAGAGCTCTTTTTTATTACTAAAATTTATTTATTACTAAATTAATGGCGGTAACCCTGCACAAAGGGATATTCCCTATGAAAGATGGCATCTCACATAAAAACAGAGCATTCTTCCTTACCTTAAAGTCGGACCTCTCTCCCCAAGTCCCTCATGCATCAGGCCACCTTTGTACCCACAGATCATGGGCAGCACTGGGTGGTCACCATCATCCACACAGAGATGGCAGTCAGCAGCGTGAGGTGGTTCTGCCTGCTATGGTCTCACCCCAGACATGGAAATGAAGGGCCCTGGGTGGAGCTGAAGGTGCTCAGCTGGGTTTCTCAGGAGTCCCATCTGTCAGTGAATTGACAAGAAACAGAGCAAAACGACTCCTCCAATGTTGATGAGCCTGCCCCTGGGATTTGGAAACTTGCTAACAGAGAAAACCAATATAGACAAAGGATTTTAAACAGGATTATGGTCAATTAAGCAAATTAGAAAAGGATACTTGAAGGAATATTTGGGACACAGGAATCAAAAACACCAGGAAGACATGAGGAGTTTCCCTAAGACTCTAGACTACAGCACTACATAGATAACTAACACCAGGCTATGTCTTATATTATTGAAGAAATAAAATTGACATTGAATTACAAACTGTCCACAAAAAGTCATGAAAATCTTGTAGACTTGATTCAATTCAGACAAATGTATCCTTCTCATTCTCAGCTGTTCACTGGTGCATTTATCTTGAATTTGACCATCTGGGGAATGGGCGTGGTCTCTCCTGACAAGAAGGCTCTGGGGCCCAGGCAGGGAGAATGACGTCTCAGAATGACTCCCTTGAGAGTCCTGTTGCCCTTTTATCAACACACAGACCCAGAAGACCCCTCCGTCCTGTAGCACCTGCCATGAGCATTGAGCTCCTGTGTTGTGCGGCCTTTTCTCTCTTGTGGACAGGTGGGTCCTGGGCAGGGACCCTTGTGTGGATTTCACGGCCCAGCCCCTTTCCATTGGGGCTGCAGCATCAGCTTTGTTCTTCTCTGCAGGTCCAGTGAATGCTGGTGTCACTCAGACACCAAAATTCCAGGTCCTGAAGACAGGACAGAGCATGATAGTGCAGTGTGCCCAGGATATGAAACATGACTACATGTTCTGGTATCGACAAGACCCAGGCATGGGGCTGAGACTGATTTATTACTCAGTTACTGCTGGTATCACTACCAAAGGAGAAGTCCCCAATGGCTACAATGTCTCCAGAATAAACACAGAGGATTTCCTGCTCAGGCTGGAGTCGGCTGCTCCCTCCCAGACATCTGTGTACTTCTGTGCCAGCAGTTACTCCACAGCGTTACAAGGCTGTCTCCTCTCCGCACATGAAAGCAGGGAGGCTCTGCCCTCCTCCCCCAGCCAAG